AATTGATGTGTGTATGGATTGGGATAACAGTTGTATGAGCCCCTAATAAAATGATTAAAAAAAAAAATATATATATATATATATGATTCTACTGCAAAAAAAAAAAGATTGTAGTCCCAGAAACCCACAAGACCAATTCTCCCTGTCCTTCAGGGTCTATGTGAGTCAGGCTTGGTAAGTTTCTCTGAATTGTCTTCACATTAGCTGAGAAAGCAGAAGGAAAAAAAGAGATTGGTCTTGCTGTCTGAGTAGTGTTGCAAGAGATGGAAAGGGAGCAGAAATATGTCCTTATTTCTTTTTTCCTTTTTCCTGCCGATATAGTGATTGAGAAAACAAAAGCCCACAGGGAAGTGGTCCTTGTAGTCCAAACCCGTGTGCTCAAGCGACAGCCGTAGTTTGTTTTCCACTGCGTGAGGACTTTGTGAAACTGGAGCTCTTCAGAGTTGACATATTTGGAACTTGACTGATTAACAAATTTAATTAATAAGAACAAGATAACCAAGAGATCATTTACGAAGAGGAATTTTACCCATTAAAAAAACACTTTAATATGCAGATATACTTCTAGTTATTAAGAGTGAGGAAGGCACCTAAAAGATCATGTGATTTTATTCACTAGGAAACTGGTGCACAGAAAGTAAGGCCCAGCTTCATTAAAGGAGCCACTGGCAAAATGTCGTTTACAGTCCCGATGCCTTGTTTGCACATATGCAATCACCCCAAATGCCGTGTGTACTTAGGAGAGCTGTCGTCCAGTTTTCTTGTTAAGCAATACTTGTTAATTCTGTTTACACTGAGCAGAAAGAAGTACTTTACATTTACTTTGCAGCATTCTGGAATTCTATCTTTTGCCTAACGGAGCTTTAAATTAGCACAGTGAAATCAAATTCTAGGCAAGGAAGCAAGGGAGTGGGCTGTATCCAGAAGGAGCCGACAGTAGTTATCTAATGAGGGACCCATCCCAGCTGAGGTATAAGCTGAATCTTTCAGGGGAGAAAATAGCAATTCTGGGGCACTTAGCTTGTAAAGACTGACTTAAAAAAATTTTTTTTAATTGGGGGCTCGTACAACTCTTTTCACAATCCATCTATCCGTTGTGTCAAGCACATATGTACATTTGTTGCCATCATCATTTTCAAAACATTTTCTTTCTACTTGAACCCTTGGTTTGAGCTTCTTATTTTTTCCCTCCCTCCCCCATGAACCCTTGATAATTTATAAATTATTATTAATTTTTCATGTCTTACACTGACTGATGTCTCCCTCACCCAGTTTTCTGTTGCATCCCCTTGGAGAGGGTTATAGGTAGATCATTGTGCTCTGTACCCCTATCTACCCCACCTTCCCCTTCCCCTCCTGGGGTGGCTACTCTCAATATTGGTCCCGAGGGGTCTATCTGTCCTGGATTCCCTGTGTTTCCAGTTTTTATCTGTTCCCATGTACATGCACTGGCTAGCCAGATTTGTAAGGAAGAATTGGGGTCACAATAGGGGCTGGTGGGAGAAGCATTAAAGAACTAGAGGAAAGGTGTATGTTTTATCGGTGCTACCCTGCACCCTCACTGGCTCGTCTCCTCCCCGCGACCCTTCTGTAAGAGGATGTTCAGTTGCCTACAGATGGACTTTGGGTCTCCACTCTGCACTCTCCTTCATTCACAATGATATGATCTTTTGTTCGTTGATGCCTGGTACCTGATCTGATCGACACCTCATGATCAAACAGGCTGGTGTGCTTCTTCCATGTGGGCTTTGTTGCTTCTCAGCTAGATGGCCGCTTGTTTATCTTTATGCTGCAAAGAATGACTTTCTTTTGAAGGAGGTTTTTCACTGGGAAAAGATGTTAGGCCTAACCAATTTCCGTGGTGGTTCTTGTTGAGCTCGCAGTTATGAAACACTTGATGTGCTTAGCACATGCCACCACGACTGAAGTCTGAGCCACGGGAACTAGAAATGCCAAATCCCTAGCCTAGGACTAGGGATGTATTTCACCGTGGAGATTTTGTGAAGCATCCCTTCATCAGTTGTAGAACAAACTTTGCTCCAACGTGTATTAATGCAGGGAGGATTCAGCATAAGAAACTGGGAACGCATGTGAAAGCAGTGTACACATCAGGAGGTCCTTTAAATTAGGAGGCAGTTCCTTGTTCCTATAAAGGGCCGTTTGCTTGTTTAGTGTTTCAGTCACACAACATCTGCTTCTTCCTTTAGCCATTTCCTTGTTCTCAGACTTCAAAAAATATTAGTGTTCCTACCTCCCTCAGCACTACCCTTAGTAACCTTAGGACTGTTTTTGTTTCAATGCAAAATTTATCAAACGAGTAATTATACTCAATTCATTATGTTTCTATTTTCATTCTATCCTGTAAGCAAAACAAAAAATAGTTGCTGCCCCGTAGAACTATGTGCCAAAAGGTTTTTTCTTCTTTTTAAATAAATATTTTTGAGTAGCATTGTGTTTCTAGTGAAAATGTACACAACAAATTAGGATCCTAATCCAGAGTCTACACAAATTGTCCAGCCACATGGGTTGTGTTCTCCATGGGGTCAGTTCTGGTTGTTCTCTTTCCCGGAATGATGTTTGCCTGCCTCCTTGCCATCCTGTCCTTGTGTGAAAGTAATTGCTGACCACTTAGTCCAGTGGTTCTCAACCTTCCTCATGCTGCAACCCTTTAATACAGTTCCTCCTGTTGTGGTGACCCCGTATGTGGGCGTACCTGCCTGGAGACGGAGAGAGGGGCAGTGTATCCATTCCTAAGACCGTCGGAAATGTGGCCTTAGGTGACCCTGTGAACCGGTTGTTTGACCCCCAAAGGGTTCCAGCCCGCTGGTTTAGTTTCATACAGGTGATATTTTAAAGGAGTGCAGAACTCATGAGGGATATTCTTCATTTTTGAGCCACTCTGTTATGCAGCTCAAAGGTGACTATTCTTTCAGGATCCCTCTACTGTGGCCTTGACAGAAGGGTTGGTCGTGGTAGCTTGGTAACATCTAGTTCTGGTCTTTGGGTGGGTGAGGCCATGGTTCATGTAGACTAGTTTCTGCTCTGTGTAGGGCCGTGAACTTTTCAACAGCTAATTTTTTTTTCCCAGAAATAAATTGCCAGACTTTTCTTCTGAAGCACCTTTAGGTAGTCTCAAACTGCCAACCTTTCAGTTAGCAGCTGAGCATGTTAACCATTTGTACTACACAAGGGCTCTTCTATCCCCTAGACTTTTATGTTTTCAATGCCATTTTACTGACTGGGCATGGAACAATCACCAGTGACCACCTCTTTGCAGTGTCTTTTGGCTTTTCATGTCTGCCAGCTTCTCTGTTCTTTGGTTACCAGCTTGGAGTGCCTCCATTCAACAGTTGTGGTAGCAAACTGAGATCATAAAGTAACTTAAAGACGTCGGACAGAGCAAGATATGACAAAATAATAATGTATAAATTATCAAGGGTTCACGAGGGAGGGGGGAGCAGGGAGGGAGGGGAAAATGAGGAGCTGATGCGGGGGGCTTAGGTGGAGAGCAAATGTTTTGAGAATGATGAGGGCAATGAATGTACAAATGTGCTTTAC